ATTTCAATTTTTCTTGAAATTGGCTGCAAAAATTTGCTGATAACTTCAGCGTTCAGAGGCGGTGCGTCGTCTTGCTGGAAAAATATGTTTTCCAGTTCCATTAAGGGCATATCATCAATAACGGGTCCAAAGCCTGCTAGTTAAAAGTGGCGAACTTTTAAAAATTCTGTATTTCGAAGGGGATTATAACAAAATATCAAGTGTGCTATATTTTTGGAAAGGTAATTTTAAATTGTTTTCAGTTAATTAAAAATATAGAGGGTGTCCCAAATAAAAAATCAATTTTTCTGTTGGTAACTCTTAAATTATTAGTTTTAAAAAAATTATACTTAAACCATTAAATTCTACGTAAAAAGGTGCTTTGGAAATGTTTTCAAAGAAATAAAAAATTTTCCATAGTAAAAAAGTTACAGCGATTTGTTAAAAATGTACATTTTTGAAAAACACCCCGTAACTCCGAAACGGTAACAGATATTGATGTGCGGTTTTTACCATCATGTTTTTAATAAAAATTGATCTCCAGACACCGATATTAGTTTTCGTCTATCTCCTATAGAAAAGGATGTTTCCATTTAAAAGCGTCGATTTTGACCCACCCTGTACACCCCAAAATTTTGATACAACGCGGCGCCACTGAAACCAAATATATTTTTTTACAATTGTTTTTAAACTCCAATTAATACAACAAAATATTTAATAATTACTAATAAATACTCATTAAATGCTATACCTAAATTTAACTGACTGTCTGAACTTTATAAGAAAAAGCCAAGTAATTATCCAAGTAACTTTTCCAATAACTTCTGAATAATCGAAAGTCATCCCATAACCGTTTCGAAGTAATAAAATTATCAATAAACCATCTTTACGTCAAGTTCAAGACCGTTCAAGATATTTATTCAGTATTAACGCGTTGGGGCGTTTAAACGGAACTTCGTAATGATGTTAGAAAGTTACAATTGCTGCGAAACAACTCCAATTGTTTATTTAACAAATTTAAATCACCTCCAACTTCTAGGAAATTTTATTTTTAAAATGTAACCGTTGTCAGTTTAAGGAGGAGTTTATGAATTAATTCTAAATAAGTTTTATTGCTCTATAAGGAATATTAAAAGTTTCAAAGAAATAAGTAAACTCAGAAGCTTGAAAATCGTTGCTGAAATCTTCACAAATTTCAGTTGATGATACTTTCAGTATAAAAAGTAAAGATTACAGTTAGGGGTTGGAACCTTTGGTGTTACACAGCAAAATAAAACACTAAATCACCACAATACACTACTAGGAGCCTTGATCATCTGCTGATGATGCTAACATGGTTAGCGAAACGCGCTTCCAGTGTAAAAGTAAAAGTGTTTTGGTGTATTGTGGTGATTTAGTGTTTTATTTTAATACAAATTAAATATACCACCATTATTTTCGCCCAAAAGTAATTAACGAAAATTAATTTTTTAATTACATACTTAATTGTTTTAAATAATAAATTATTCTAAATAAATATGGATTTGACTCAAAAATCAATATAATAATAAATTATGAAAATGGACGTCTCTGTTGTTATAAATAATCATTCGTCAAAAAATGAAATAAAATTTATAAGGCGTTACTTTTTACCACACTGTCTAATACATATAGAAAATTCTGTTTTTTAATATTTGGAGCAATTTTATTATTAATCAACGTAAACAGTCAATTAATGTAGTTTGGATACTGGGACCATATTAATTGATCCTCTTTAACAAAAAATATTTAAACATTTTTTTTTTATTTTTTAATGACAATATTAGCATATTAGCAGTACTCTTTGAAAATTTGATACATATTATCATACATTTGGGTATAGTGACAAATGAGGTCTAAATAATAAGAAAATGCATTTTCTACGAAAACTTAAAGAAATGATATGTAAAAAATGGTCTAATACAATTTTATAGATAATTAAATTATGCATCTGATTCTCGTAAAATATACTGGGTGTTCTATTTAAATTAAACAAGTTATTGCCATTTAAAGCTAGTATTTACTAGTTAATTGTACTAGTAATCTTTAGCTATTAGTGTACTAAGTACACTGTGACAAGTACATTCAGTACAAAGACACTCTGTATAAAGTAGTATTTTGTTTATTATTACAAGCTTTCAATAAATAAACTTCAGTAAATATTTTGGTATTAAAAACTTTGATACCCTTGGAGAAATGAAGCCTTAAAATTTTTACTGCAATTTCATAAAATTGATAATATTTCAAAAACGGTAAGGTTTAAGTGTAATAAACCGTAATCAAATTTACCTTAATTTCAGTCATAGAATCTAAAAATAGAATAATATACAGGTTATTCCATTTAAAAAAATACAACTATAGCATTTTTTACTTATTTGGGACACTGTATCTTGTAAAAATATTTTCAAATTATAGCTCTTATAGTCCTTCAACGAATCCAAAACTTACAATATGTAAAAATCAAATCGTTTAGCTACAATACTCCGTGTCGTATGTGGTGAACAACCCTGTATAATTTCCATTAGTTTTTTTATACTTCGATATTTTTAATGAGGAATGAAAGGAATAAACATATAAATTTTTAGTTCAGCTGAAATTATTTATGTAAGAAATATTTCTTTATTTAGTACTAGCGTGTACCAGCGACTTCGTTTGCGTCGAATTAATCATTTGTAATGGTGATGATAAAGCAAGGCAAGAATTTCCATGCCGGCTCCCCCCCCCCCAGGTACTGCTAGGCACCCCCCAGAGAAATCCTGAATTATGACTTTTGGCTACGTATTAATTTTTATTTGCTTGTGATGCAGTAAAAATGACGTTTTCTAGTTTTGTTTAGTTGATATTAGCGATGGGAACTATCGAATGAATTAGACTATCGAATGGTTACTGAATGAATGATTTCAACTATCGAATGGTTTTATTCGAATAAAATCATTCATTCATTTGTATACTAAAGCATATGTGACAACCTCGCCGTGCGACTAAATGGTTATCCTTGAGCCACGACTATCGAATGCTTTTGATAAATGAAATTTAGTATTCGTTTGATTTTTGTGTGCGTCAGTGCATTATTAGTTCTTCAAATTTTTATAACTTCACCTTATAAATACTGTGCTATTTTTGCGTTTATTAAAATATTTAAAAATACTAAAATAGTAGTTTTTTTAATTGACGATTGTGTGCGTGTGCAGGTGTCAAAATTTTTCCGAAAATTTGTGTGATTTTCCGTAGCCCGATCTTTCAATTATTTTATTTTATATGGTATATATGGTATATTTTTTAATGGGAAATTTTGAGAAGTAGCAATTTTTAAGAGAAATGAGCTGAACTTGAAGTTTTACACGTGCCAATTTAAAAAAAAAGTTAACGATGTTTGCATATTTTTTTGTTTATGCTAATTCTCTTACATGTAGTTTTTTTATGAAGAAATATTTCATTTATTTTTTAAAGTAAATGCCAGTAAAAGTAAATATTATTTTTAAATAATAATATAAAGTACCTAATATAAATAATTTTGATTTCTAATTTTTCACTTATATTTTCCTTCCATTACACTGCATGCTTAGAAAATTAATAAATGTTTATATTTCATGATTTTAAAGTTTGTTGTTAATATAACAAATTAGCTCTGTAATTATTATTATTTAATAAACCAACGATGCCAAAAAAAATTTAAAGACTATATTATTTTTAAATATGATCATAATATAAATAATTTTGACATCTAATTTGTTGTTTATATTTTGCTACTACGTAAAAAAATGTTTATATTAAATTATTTTAAATTTTGTTGTTAATAGGTATAACAAATTATTACTGTTATTATTATTTTTATTAAACCAGTCTTTGTTTAAAAACATTAAAATCATTTTCCTACATCCAAAATATTTTATTATCTAACCTAACCTAACAACAGAATATTAATAAAAAAAATGCAAAAATATATAGACATACTATCCCTAACTAACTAAAGCCAAACAATAATATTCTTTGCTAATATCAACTAATACCAATATATGGCAACAGCGCCCTTCATAATGTATTTTTCTGTGTAAATACTAGCACCTCAATAAAAAATAATGTGTCCTTATCTTTATATGACTCAAAAAATCAAAGATGCCGGCTTCTTTCTAGCATTGCCACCGACCGCTGTCGGGTTTCTCGGAAAAAGAAACCTACGTCGCCGGGCGACAACTAAAATCCAGTTAATATTTTATTATAATTGATCCTGACGAATAAATGAATTTCATAAATGAATGAATTTTATAAATGAATGGTTTTTGCTGCCGAATTACTAGAATACAATATTTCAAGGCAGATGACGCATCTATTCGATAATTTTTATTCGAATAGTTTTCAACGAATGTTTTTTTACTAGCTATCGAATTATTCGAATGAATTGCAACTATCGAATGTTTCGATAGTATTCATTCGATAGTTCCCACTACTAGTTGATATTATTTTATTGTGTTCAAAAATGTGTTTAATTTTTTTAGAAAATTTGTAGCTATTTAAGTAATCTACGGGATCACGGTTTGATAACCAAGTATATAAAATTTATTGACAGAGAAATTCATGTAAAAAAACGTTTTATTCAAAAAATGTGCTTTTTAAAATTATTTTTCATTTAAAAAAAACAAAAGCCCTAGGCCCCCCCTCTGAGCTCAACCCCGGGCCCCTCCCCCAGACCCACCCCAGGATAAGTTGCTAGTTACGCTAATGGCTACTTTCGTTTAGCTGAAATCAGTTATGTATAAGAAATATTTGTTTATTTAGTACTTGGAAACCTTTTTGAATAGTGTGTCACAAAAATGTATCTGTGGAAATGCATCATTTTCAGTTTTTCAACTTTAGAAAAGCTGAAATCAGAGCTACTTTCGTTTAGCTGAAATCAGTTATGTAAAAAATATTTGTCATTAGTATTTCAAAGCCTTTTCGAATAGCTTGTCACAAAAATGAATCTGCGGAAATACATAATTTTCAGGAAAACAAAAACTCAGATATCAAATAGCAACACTTATTTTATTAAATATTCGATACAAAAAGAAAGCAGTATTTTCTAGTTGGCAAAAATATTAATAAGAAATTCGATACCGTGGCTTGTGTCAGATATCATGTAAAACTCAGCAAAATGATGTCCCACACCGCCTGCAGTAATACTAACATGTCCCACATTACTTCCGCTATTTAAATTGATGACTTTAATGCAGTATATACTCGGATCACCATAGTAAGTCGCCTAAAAATTAAAAAAAAAATAAAATTCGCTTTATTTGTTAGCTTGGTCTTGAGTAGCATGCCATGAAAAAGTATATTAAGAAAAACTTTTTTTTTAAATGGAAGTTGTTGAAATAATAAAAAAGTCCATTATTTAAAAAAAAAATCGTGTAGATATTAAAACCAAAAAGAAATTCTTTATATGGAATCATCTATTAATTTTCATAATTTTTGAGACCTATGAACATTTTGTATTTATGAATAAAACTCATTCGTTTCGAATGACTTTTAATGAAAAATAATCCATATAGCAATAAAAAAAATAATAAGGTCCCAAAATAAACACACTGGTATTTTTTGGTTTCTCAAACGAAATGAGATTTAAATTTTTAATGATCAAAAAGCAAAAACAAAAAAATATAATTTTAATAATCCTTGTTGCCACCTCTAGATCTTATACAAGCTTCTATCCGCACTGGAATGCTTCTTATTAAACTATCAACGTTGTCTTGAGGTATGTTTTCACATTCTGCTAATGTTGCATCAATAACCTTTGCGAGATGTCCTGGATTGTTTCGACCAGTTCTAACACTTCTTTTGACCTGGTCCCACAAGTGTTCGGTAAGGTTTAGATCTGGTGAACATGCAGGCCAGTCCAAAACTATGACACCTTCCGTTTCAAGACATTCTCTATAGTCACTCTGCTGGTATACTATCGTGCATGAAGTTAAAATTGTCCCCAATTGCAGCTCTGCGAAGACTAACGATTGATTCTAGCACTAAATCAACATACCTTCGACCCGTTAAAGTTTGTTGAAGTGGTAACAATGGAGTTTTTGCTCCCACCATACCTCTCCAGAACATTACAGTTCCTCCTATATATTTTGGTACAGATTTGGCAGCCTGGAGTGTCGCTCGTCTTCCTGGAGCTCTGAGAACCCGAATTCGATGATCATCTGATCTTATAGGCCAATCCTGGTCTCGTCTGAAAAAAAAACATTTTGCCAATTCTCAGTTGTCCAGTTTTGATGTTGAAGGCACCAGTTTAGCCGGCCAATTTTATTTTGCCGAGATAATTGTCGGACACGTAACTCTCTCCTACTGTACAACCGATATCATTGTGTATGTACAACCCTCGAGCACGAAGCCTTTTTCTTATGGTTTCAACTGAAACGTTCACACCTGTAGCTGCCAGAAGTTGTCTTTGTAGCTCTGGATGAGAAACATTGGGATTTCTTCTAGCAATTTGGTACACAAATCGGCCTTGTTGTTCAGTTCTGACTCTTTTACGACTTTCTTGAGAGTTCCTAGTTCCAAGTAGATAACTTGCATATATTTTCGATACAACACCCCGGGTAACGGCTACTATCTCTGTTACGTCGCTTTGGGACAGTAATTTTTAGCAAATTCATTTTAGCAACATTTTAAACAACAATTTAGACTTGGCTTTCAGTTCTCAGACTTGGCTTTTAGTCCGTCCCCAATTCAAGCCAAGCATAGATATGTTTTCTCCGTCAACCGCAGAGTTCGAGTCAAATTCGTCTAGCTTTTTACAAAGGGAAGCTCGAAAAATATTGCACCGAGGTCCCAAGTTGTCAATCTACGCTACCGTATTCTTAGTATACATTTAGATCGAGACTATTTATATTTCCCTAATGCTATTCATTCTTTTTTTTTGCTGCCAGTCAGTCATATTTATTAGTTATTAATAAAAGAATAGTCGGTAGAACTATACAGGGTGTAGATCTTAATTAAGTGCAAATATTTTCAGGGGTGGTAAGAGAATATATGTTTATTTTATTGAGATCTACGAGCTCTGAAAATATTTACACTTATAGAATCACCTTATATAATAAACATTTTCAAACCGAACAAACAACAGATGATTATTAGATAGATAGATAGATAGATAGATATTCATTTATTTGTTCCTATTAACAAAAGTTACAAGAGCCCGCAGGCATGGAACATAGTAAAAATAGCAAAAAAACAAAACTTAAGGCTTAATATAAAACACTTAAATAAGGAAAAACTAGAATAACACTCGACAACAAAAAAATATAAAATATATGTTTCGAAAATCATTGTTCAGTTTAAATAATAGTCTTTCTAACCGTACTATATATATTTATATATATATATATATATATATATATATATATATATATATATATATATATATATATATATATATATATATATACTATATATATATACTATATATATATATATATATATATATATATATATATATATATATATATATATATTATATATACTATATATATATATATATATATATATATATATATATAGTATATACCATACTACAGTAGTAGCAACTAACTCAAACTCTGGATCCCACTACATTACAATTATAACAAACAATAAACATGCTCACTAAAAAGTGAGATATGCGAATCGGAAAAAAAATCGGCCAAACTATAGTATGCCTTTTTGGTTAAATAATCTTTTAGAATAGTTCTTATCTTTCAACGAGACATGGCCTGCAACTCTTCGGGGAAATTATTAAATATTTTTATAATTGAATACTCAGCATTCTTTTGTATATAAGTAAAATTGCATTTTCCAGGTACAAGATTATATCTATTTCTGGTATCATACTTGTGATCACTAACAAAGCCTGCAAAGAGATCTCTATTACCGATCACAAATATATAGGCATCGTAAACATACATGCCTGTCAGCGTCAATATACCCTTCTCTACAAAAACACTCCTGCAGCTTTCTAAACGGCTCATCCTAAATATATTTCGAATGCATCTTTTTTGCAGCAGAAAAAATCTACCTGCCAGAAACGTTCTAAGTTGTAATACCACCATTTTTATATTAGGCAAAACCAGATTATCTGCTCTGTTACTAAAGCTATCTCTCATTTTAGATTGCACAAAAGCATAATAAGCTGTCAATGCAGCTTCTTCGCCCACATTCTCCGAGACAATCCTCAAAGCAAAGCTGTGTCTTGATACCCCCTTTGCAACACCATCAACGTGCGCTTTCCAATCCAATCTGCTGTCAATGACACCAAGCAGAGAAACGTTCTTAGTTGTAATAATTTCATCATTTTTATATTGAAGTGTAAACGCATTATCTGCTCTGTTACCAAAAGCTACACACTGCGTTTTAGATGTGATAAAGATAGATAAACCCATTGACGAAAAATATTCTACCAATATATCACATGTTCTTTTAATTTTAACTCTCATTAATTCTGCATTCACGGCATCAAAGATCAGCGTAGTATCATCGGCATAGAGAGTTGTATGTTCTCTCGTTATATTAGGTAGTTTGTTCGTATAAATTATACAGGGTTGTTCACCACATACGACACGGAGTATTGTAGCTAAACGATGAGATTTTTACAAATTGTAAGTTTGGGGTTCGTTGAAGGACTATTAGAGCTACAATTTAAAAAGTGTCCCAAATAAATAAAAAATATCAAAGTTGTATTTTCTTAAATGGAACACCCTGTATATTATTTATATTATTACATTTTTAGTTTCTACGATTAAAATAAAGGTAAATTTGATTAAGGTTTATTATACTTAAACCTTACCGTTTTTGAAATATTTTCAATTTTATTGAAATTGCGGTAAAAATTTTAAAGCTTCATTTCTCCAAAGGGTATCAATGTTTTTAATGTACTAAATATTTAATGAAGTTTATTTATTGATCAGTTATTGTGTTGCAATAATAAAAATAATACTATATACAGAGTGTCTAAAAATTTATTTTAAATAATTATTAGCTTCAAACGGCAATAACTTCTTTAATTTAAATAGAATGCCCTGTATATTTTAGGAGAATCAGATGCACAATAAAATTGTCTATCAAATGGTATTATACCATTTTTTACCTATCCCTTCAAGTTTTCGTAGAAAATGCATTTTCTTATAATTTAGACCTATAAATGAGAATGAATATCTTCTTATCAATATTCAAAATTCATTTACCAATATATCCATGGAATATTGACATTTTAGATTGTTTTTAAAGCAACAAATGTACAGACTAGTAATATTATCGTTTTTAGCAAAACGATAATATTACTAGCCCATTTGTATGCAAAAAGAAAACTATTTAAATCTTTATAAAAGAGTATACCATTAATTAAATATAACACCATCATTTCCGCCCATATGCTAATTAATGACATACTTAATTGTGTTCGTTAATAAATTATTATAAATAATTGTGGATTTTTGAGTCAGAAATCAATATAATAATAAGTTATCAAATTAAAGTCTTTGTTGTTATAAATAAGCATTTATTAAAAAATGAAATATCATTTTTAAGGTGTTACTTTTTATCACACTGTCTAATGCCCATACAAAATTCAGTTTTTTAGTATTTGGAGCAATTATTATTAATCAATGCAAACAGTCAGTTAATGTAGTTTGAATACTGGATCATATTAATTGGTCCTCTTTAACAAATATTTGAACAGTTTTTTTTTATTTTTTAATGAAATAAACGAATTATATCGACAATATTAGTATCTGTACTCTTTAAAAATTTGATACATCTTTAAAAATAATCTAAAATGTCAATAGTCCATGGATATATTGATAAATAAGTTCTAAATTACAAGAAAATAAATTTTCTACGGAAACTTAAAGAGATAGGTAAAAAATGGTATAATATAATTTGATAGACATTTAAGTGACAAATGATTCTCGTAAAATATACAAGTGTTCCACATTTAAATTAACCAAGTTATTGCCGTTTGAAACTTTATTTAAAATAAACTTACAAACACTCTGTACAGGTAGATTATTTTATTATTACAACCAACAATAACTATTATCAATCAATAAACTTCAGTCAATATTGATATTAAAACTGAATAACAGAAAATTAAAATTATTCTGGAAATTCAAAACAGTAACAGTTCAGTATAATAGTATCTTAATCAACGGCCACGCTGTCATAAAATATAAAGGTATTACCTTTATTTTAATCGTAGAAACTAAAAATATGTAATAATACAGATTGTTCCATTTAAAAAAATACAACTTTGATATTTTTTACTTATTTGGGACACTCTGTATCTTGTAAAATTATTTTTAAATTGTACCTCTAATAGTCCTTCATCGAACCCAAAACTTACAATTTGTAAAAATCTCATCGTTTAGCTACAATACTCCGTGTCGTATGTGGTGAACAACCCTGTATACAATAATAACCCCAAGATTGAACCCTGAGGGACACCTTTTATTACTTTGGTTTTATTCGACACTATAACTCTACCCTGACTGTCATATTCAAAAACCTGCTGGGTTCTATTAACTAAATAAGATTTTATTAGCTCCAACGCCATACCCCGGATACCATACCTATCCAGAACCCGGCATAGTATTTTATGGTTTACACAATCGAACGCCTTTGATAGATCAATACACATTGCTACAGTTAGCTTTGTTTCGTTCAATGAATTAAGTACTTTTGTTAGTGCTTGATCAATCGCTCTTACTGACGATTTCCCTTTCCTAAAACCGTTTTGACTATCCGAGATAAAGACGCTGCTTTCTAAAAAATCTGATATTCGACTGTAAATTATTCTTTCAAAAATCTTCCCGATGTTTGGAAGTAGAGATATAGGTCGATAATTATGTTCATCATCGATCTGTCCTTTCTTGAACACAGCTTTAATTAATGAATTCTTTAACTGATCAGGATAAATACCCGTAGAGAAACATAAGTTGTCATCACCGACAGATTTTGTATTATTTAGTTGATTAATTATCTTAAATATTTCTGGGGAGTTTGTTGGCATTAGAAAAATCGAATCAACTATCATAGCTGGTAATAAAATTATAAGTGTCCCAGAGAAATACATTTTACAATAGTTATTTTACAAATTGGTGTTTATGTTAAAAAGCAACTGACGATTATACTGATGAAAATGGATTAGTTAGTTATGGATCACCTATTAATAACCATTTAATTTTTGCTAATCCAATCTTTTTTGAGCTCTGATCGGGACCGGCCCACCGGGAATTTTCCCGTTTTCCCATATGGCCCATCCACCCCTGCATTCCCAGAATCAAATGTATCAAGTAGCAATGGGCAGGACACCTGAAAATAAAGATGGACAACAGATGGACCACAATAATTACAGCATGGTGCCCACGAGGCCAAACATGAGATGGGACCATGATATTAAGGAATTAGCAGGGATAACTTGGGCGCGCATAGCCAACAATTATTGAAAACAACGGGTCCAACCACAAAGAGAGTATCTAAATATGGGAGGGAAGCTACACCATAATTGGAAATGGTTGAATAAGCTGAAAATGATGATGATGATGAAAATGTACTTACTGTATCACTTCGTTTGAAAAATGGAATTCCGATTTCACTAACGTGATGAGTATAAACCAACTCACTATCTGGTGTACTATCACAAAGCCCGTCAGTTATATTGGTACCATTTGTATTTTCCAAGCTTTCATCGGTTAAAGATGGTGGAATAGCAAATACAATCGTGGCAAATACTATAACTATTACACTAAGATATTTTATTACCATCTTTCTCCTATCACTTTACAGAGATTATCTTTCTATAAAAATATATATATATATATATATCAATTTCCGGTTGGAAAATATTAATATGGACAATGTTATCCCTTTATATAGATGTCTCACTTTCTTATCACTAATTAAACATATTCCTGTTTTTATTTTAATCAAGTAGCATGAACTTTAAGTGGTTTAATATTATTAACTTTATATAAAAAAAACTGATTCTACAGGTATGTTTATCAGGATGTTTTAAAATTTTTTTCGACGCCTTTTAATAAAAATTTATCTTAATTTAATAATTCCTAAAGAGCTGCTTAATTAATTAAAACCATTGACAGCATGCAATAAATAAATATATTATATTGATTAAATAATTGATAAATCTTAGCAAATAAAGACTTATTTTTTTGGAACAGTCTTAAGTGTTCTTAAGTGTCTTAAGTGTTCTTAAATTAGTTTATTTTTTATATTTCTATGTATCAAAGCAATCACAAAATTACTACATTTGTTTGGATTAGGCATCAGTAACTAAATAGTAACAGTTTTAGTAAAATTTAAAAGATAAGTTGTTTTTGTGTGTTGCATATGTAATATTTGTTTGCAAATATATTGAAATTAATTTGAAATTACGAATGCAGTTCTGTATTCCAGAAGCAAACTATATCAGCTCACAAAACACAGTTTTGAGAAAAACGAATTTAAAGTTCTTTTTTGAAGTTATTTCCTAATTACTCGGTTATTTTCAAACTTTTAAGCTTCATTCAGAACCTCGCAATTAGTGGAATAAATTAATGTTTTCAATTAACCTAGAAGTTTGATCCTTTGTAAGTATCCAGAACATCTAAATTAGTGGTAGTCGTTTTCAATTAGTAGCAAACGTTAATAAACTTTGACTTTTCCACTTATTATGCTTCAAAATTTGCGGAGAATGTCATTTAGACCAGAGAATACTTAGATTTTGACCTTTGATTATCATCCGTCAAGAGAAACTGTGGTTAGACATCAAAAGTTTACTTTGAATAAGAAGACTAAGGAAGGAGCATATCAAAAATCTTAGGCCCACCGCGATGGGACTCAAATAAGGCCGACTTAAATTCCGGTTTATCAGTGCCGTTCTAATTTTATTTAAAAAATGTAAAACTATGAAGTAGGGTAGACGTGGGGTAGACTCAATAATTTTTTTTTACGTTGTGAATAAATCTTGGTAGTTATTAAAATTGTTATAAAATCATATTATTATAATAAAAATAAATAAGTTTTAATAATTATTTATTAACACAAACATCCGATACGCTACTGAAGCAGGTAAGTCAAATTGACGTTTCTAAATTCTTTGACATCTAATCTTTGACAAGCAGTAAATAAAAGCAAAAATGCAAGAAAAAATATATAATTAGTTAATTTAAGTGAATTTCATAAATGATCGGTTTACTACACGTATGTATATTATATAGTCACTTACTAGCGAAAAGTTCTATTATTTCACTCAATTTTTGCCGAGATCTACCTCACGCTACACAACCAACTATTTTAGAGTTTTTTTCGATTAATGATAGATACTGTTAATTTAAGTTTCTGCCACAATTTCCATCTAGATTTACTACCTTTATACAACTATCAGTAGTAGAATAAATAATAAATAACATAAAATCAGCTCCGTAAAGACTGACAAATCTACAAAATTTCAAATCAAATTCAAATGTGTCAAATGAATCATCAAACAGAACTGTCAAGGATCCCCAACCTAGAGTCCTTTTTCCGCCCACCATGCATCAATACCTGGATGGCATTATGCTCCTTCCTTAGTCTTCTTATTAGTGATGGGAAAAACCGATTAATTTCAATAATCGAGTACTCGAGTATCAAGCGATTGCAATAACCGAGTGATCACTCGAGCGAAATATCGATCGTTAACTCCAAGTGCCAAGCAGTAAGCTGCGTGCATAGAGCACATATTCTTTCGGTAATGAACGGCAAGTAGTAAGCGGCGAGCGATTCGCTTGATCGCCTGATTTATCTTTAGTTTATTTCGAAGCATTGTCGATGTAGGTCGTAAAATTTTGTCTCTCAGATACGCAACGGATAAATATACCGGGTGCGTCTCAAAAGTGGATCACCTCTATAACATTTTAGCCGACCATACCAATAGATATGGTAGGCCATTAGGATCGGCAAAAAAAAGTTTTTTTAATTTCACTCAAAATGAGTTACAAATAACTCAATCTCCCAACCCAAAGGTCATAAATGACCTAAATACAAAATACCGTATGATCAGCTTGGCGTCAGCGATACATGAAGCCGAAGATGTTTATATCTTAAATTTATATGAAATGTCATTGATGTTCATTTCCCAGCCAACTGGACGCCGTTTTTTTCAGATCCTTACAATGGTGTCTGTCTGTCTGTCCATTTGCCGTCTGTAACACGATAACTCAAAAACCGCTGAACCGATTTCAACCAAATTTGGCACAAAATAGTGTGGCACCGAGAATCTGACCATTAGTTTTTGGTGGGGGGTGGGGGTTGGAAAGGGGTATGGGAGGGGGTTGAGGAAATTTAAAAATCAAGCGCTTTCCAAGAGTACATTAGCTAGCGAAACGCGGTTTTCAAATTAAGATTAGGAATAATATTTGCAACAAAATTTGTAATAACATCGAAATCAGTCAAAGTCGCAATTTTCGAGATATTACCATATTTTAGTATGGGCGGCTATACGTGCCTCCCGGCGCCAATTTTTTATTTTTTCAGATAAAACAACGAGATTTGGTATGTTAGTATATATATAAATTAGGATTGATATTCAATTGTTTTCGGTCACTTCCGGTTTCACCGGAAATGACTGCAACTTTTGATTTAAATCGAACCCTCGGTATCTTTTTACTTTAGTGAATCATTATTCAGCTTGGTAGAAAATGACACTCTGAATAGAATGTCATTTTGAATGAATAACATGTCAACTTATGACATTTTCGCATATGGTTTATTTGAAATTGTAACATGCGGTTCATAACGACAATTTGACTCGAAGTACCAAGTGTGTGGTATCAAATTATTCGTAAAAAAAATCTTTTTCGAAATATGCTTCGAAAATGAAAAAAATTTCGAAAGAGCCACCCTCGTTCCATTTGAAAAAAATTGAGATATGATCAAAAATACGATTTGGGCATCGTTAACCGGCCAGGGCAAGACACTAAACACATTAGACGATCAACTCTATTTTTCCAAGGCTCCTTGATTAAAAATTAGTATTTTTAACACAGCCATGGCACTCTAGATTGAAATTTAAAATACAATTTGTTTTTAAGCGAATATGTCAAAAGTTGACATATGATATGATACGTCATTCTATTTAGAATGTCATTTTCTACCGAATAAAGTAAAAAAAATACCGAGGGTGCCATTTAAAAATCAAAAATTGTAGTCATTTCCGGTGAAACAGGAAGCGACAGAAAACAATTGAATACGTCAATCAATCCTAATTTATGTCATATACTAACATACCAAATCTCATTTTTTTATCTAAAAAAATAAAAAGTAATAAGGGTGAGCCACTTTTGAGACGCACCCGGTATATACGGCGTCGTATAAATTTGCTACCTGCAATGTATGTAGAAAATTCGCTCGGCTTTTTATCGAGTAGGTCACATTAAAATCGGATTTTAATTTATTTCATTCTAGGATCGCTTGCGTTCGTCGCTTGGTACTCGTCACTTCATAATCGAGCGATGTGCCATTGCATTTTTTTAAAAGTGAAGTTTCTCAAAAATCTCTATTATAATAGATTTGTGTATATTTTAAGTTAAAGAAAAATCATAAATCATAAATAGTTATTTTATTAAATATTGGATACAACAAGAAAACTGTATTGCCTATTTGGCATAAATGTAAATTTTAAAATCCATACCATGACTTCTAGCAGATTCGGTATAAATCCTAGCAAAAGGATGTTCGACACCACCTCCAATGATTTTAGCATGTCCTACATTCGAAGTTCTTAGATTTTTCACTTTAATGCAGTATATTATCTTGTCACCATAGTAAATCGACTAAAAAACGGTAGAATTAAATATTGATCCGAATATACAATACTTAGGATTAAGCATTGTAAAAAATTACACATGAAATATAGTTTTAATAGACGGAGGCTACATAAAAAACCTTATCATCGTTACATAATTTGCTAATTTTTCTGGCTAAGTATCCTTTTGTGTAGACATTATGAAATAGTCATGTCTGCCAGCGCGATCCGGGGGCTTAAAGCGGATGCGGCCCATGCGGCAAAAAGCCATCAGCATGGTAGATTAAAAAATTATACCGTGGGTAAATTTACGGTGAACAAGCAGTTCTAAAAAGTTTTCTAAAGTATACAAGAAAATGTTTAAAAAAATCCACGATTTTCAGCATATTTGTTTGCTAAAAAAACCTCATAGACGTGTTCTTGGGGTCGAAATACAGGTTGTTAATTTGTTTATTACTCGCGGCAAGAGCTTTATGGTAGTGATGGGTTGTTATTTAACTATCTGTTATTTTATAACAATTACTTATAAATAACATAACGCAACCGTTACTACTTCTAAAAAATAACAGATATAAAATAACGACACGTAGAGATCGGCCGCTCGTGAAACGAAAAACGAAGTCGGCGCTCTGCATCACCACGAAATTCTATGCTGCTCGAAGCAATTCCAAAAAACAACTATAAATGGAAAACATGTTATTTCGTCAACCATCGATACAGGCGGCGAGACAACGGACAACGGAGTGGGGAAAGCGCTACGGCGAACGTAGCTGCTTCGGTCGATACCGTCAATGGTCGTATTGGGTTTGCAACAGCTTAAAAATAATAGGATATGAAAGAAGCAGGTTTTTTGAAACAGTTGCGGGCATAACGCCTGGCGGTCGAGATAACAGGAGTGGGAAGGGAACGCTGCTACATCGGTCGATTGTCGATGGAGGCTCGCAACGGGTTGGAGAAGCAGTTATTTTAGATATGTTGTTTTTCAACCTGTTACGAGCATAACAGGGCGGCGATCGAGATAATCGGAGTGGGAAAGGAACGCTGCTGCTGGTCGATTGTCGATGGAGGTTCGAAACAGGTTGGAGAATAACGCATCAGTTGTTTTAGATATATTGTTTTTCAACCTGTTACGAGCATAACGGGCGGAGGTCGAGATATTCTGGCGCTGTATGTTTCAGTACTTACTTATTAAGTTTCAATATTTAGATATTTATTTATTCTGAAACATTTTCAGAATAATATTTCAAGATTTTTTAAAAATGTATACAGGGTGTTTTGAAAAATCTGGTCATTGATTAATCACGATATTGCTTAAAGCCCTTGACGTAAAAAGCTGATTTTTGGAAAACGGATTGACTTTAGGGTGTCGAGGTTCGATAAGAAGGGATTTTTCGAAACTCGAATTCTAAGGGGGTAGGGAAACTACTCACAAATATTAGAATATTTTTATTTAGGCTTAGGTACTTTTTCGGAAAAACTCTTAAAAACACGGCATATTTTTATTATGTTGTTTTACATATTTTAAAAGATTTTTAAAAAATATATACAGGATATTTCATAAAATATGACCATTGAGTAATCACTATTCTGCTTAAACTGCTGGACGTTTAAAGCTGATTTTTGCAAACGGACTGACTGTGGAGGGTTGGGGTTCATTTGAGTAAAGGAGGGGGTTTCTCGAATCTCAAATTCCAACAGGGGAGGTGAAAACACCCTCAAATATTACAATATTTGTTATTTAAAAAACGGTTAGTCTTGGAAAACGCCTGGACACACATAATTTATTTTGTTTTTACATATTTTGAAATTTTTAAAATCATACATGGTGTTCCAAAAAGTTGACTAATTGATTAACCACGATTCTCTTAAACTGCTCGACGTTAGAAAGCTTATTTACGACGAAAATATTGAGAAAATTTTATCAGTTTGTATGTCCAGTAAAATTCTTGTTTTGCTTTATCATCACCATGGAAATTATAATTTCGACGCGAACAGAGATGCGCTGGAGGTACACATAGTTTAAGTGTAAATTAATTCGAACTCTAGTGTGTGGTTGGTTTTACTTATGAAGATATTCTTTTACTTATACTTACTACTTGCTAGAAGACTACACATTTTCTTATATTGCTGCTGTTTTTTGACCGCAAATGGTAAAAATCATAACTAAGAGCTTCTCGCCCGTCGAGTAGAGATGCACCAATACGCACTACGCAATTCAGGATCTATGCGGATCGGAGGGCAGGGCAAGGTATTGAATCCTGCAATGTGGGTATAGACAGTGGCGGAATTTTGGCTTTTTACTCCTCTGCCAGATTTTGTAAGCAGCGCTTTATTGTAAATAACCACCGTTTTAGAAGTATTTTAGACTTAATCGATATTTAAATGTTTTTGACACCACAGGAAATACTACCTGCGAGGCAAAATCATTGTTTGCAGCTGCGTTGTGCCGCCACGGCGGTGACGTCTCATACTGCAGATGTTATGGTAAAATAAACAGTTATTTTTAAGCTGTTATTTTAAGCTGTTTTTTATAAATAACTATAACAGTTTGAACTGTTATCTAAAAATAACAGTTTTGCCCATCACTACTTTATGGTTGAAATATGGCAACGCGACGGGACGAGTAGACAGAAAACCCTATAAGTGCATGCGTTCTCAATAGGCAGTGTTGCCCAATCTGTTCCCCTATAAGTAACTGTCCAGTTAACAACCTGTATATCATATAATATATGAAACCCCATCATCAATGGCCAAAGAAATCGTTAGATTTAAATGAAATTTGGTATGTTGATAGATTGGACCAAGGCCAACTTGACCGTGTTTTTATAATATGTTTTGGTGATATAAATATTAATTTAATAGATAATGACAGCTCGCAAACCATACAATTTCAAAATGTAATCAAAACTTTTAATCTTGAGCAAATTATTTCTGTTCCTACTAGAATTTCATGTACTAGTTCTACACTTATTGATGTGATTTGTTGTAACACTGAATATGTCCAGGATTCTGGTGTGAAGGATATAAGTGTCTCGGACCATTTTCTGGTTTACGTAGTATTAAAATATATAGAAAGGAAGCCTAGTCAAACACCTATTAAATATAGAAATTTTAAAAATATGAATTTAACTAATTTTCAATCGGATCTTGAGAGTGCTCCCTGGGATTTAATTTTTGGTATGGATGATATTGACGAAAAAGTTACATTTCTGACTGATCTCATTCTAAGACTTTTTGACTGTCACGCGCCTATGAAATTAATCAAGTGTAAAAGATATGCATATAGTCCGTGGATAACAGACAATGTAAAATATATGAAAACGCTTAAAAACCAGGCATTAAATCGTTATCGTCGAACAAAAAATCCTGAACATTGGAATTATTACAAGCAAATGAGGAATTTAACAACATCAGCAATTAGATCAGAGAAAAAAGCATACCTTAACTATAAGTTTCAAACCTCCACAGCCAAGGAACAATGGAATGAGCTAAGACGACTTAATATACTGTCTAACAAAACTAGTAATATTCCAGAAAACCTACAAAATGTCAATGAAATTAATGGATATTTTACCCAAACAACAAAAACATGTAATATTCCTAAAAAGGATATCTTAGACTATTATAATAACAACAGTTTACTTCCTCAAAATTCTTTTTCTTTTTCTACTGTGTCAGAAGATTTAATATCTCATATTATTCTGGCTATTAGATCTAAAGCCTTTGGATCCGATGATCTAAATATCTCTTTGATATCTTTTTGTTGTCCTCATATAGTGCCTTATATAACTGATATAATTAATTCTTGTATTCAGAGATCTTATTTCCCAAAGTCTTGGAAACTTGCTAATGTGACACCATTACCAAAAAAAAGTAACCCCACAGAATTCAGCCATTTACGTTCAATTTCAATATTACCAACTTTGTCGAAAATATTAGAAAAAGTAATGGAAACCCAAATTCGATCCTATCTTTCAGTTACTAGTATCTTGCCCATTAAACAATCGGGGTTCAGAGCTGGTTATAGCTGTGGCAGTGCTTTGACTGATGTTGTTGATGATGTGGTGAGAGCCCAGGATAAGAATAATGCTACCGTACTAGTACTTCTCGATTATAGTAAAGCCTTTGATGTGCTTAACCACATACTTTTAATACTTATTTTAAAATACATAGGTTTTACAGTAGAAGCTTCATCGTTTATAAAATCATTTTTGACAGATAGATGTCAACGAGTTGTTTGGGAGAATAACTATTCAGAGATATTGAGTGTTTCATCTGGAGTCCCACAGGGTAGCATTTTGGGTCCTCTCTTATTTAGTATATATACCTCAAATTTTGTAGGGAGTCTTAAGTACAGTGGGTATCACCTGTATGCCGATGACACACAAATCTATATATCTTTTAATCAGAATCAAGCTGATGCTGCACATAGAAAACTTAACTCTGATTTGGATAGAATATTGAAAGTATCCTCGGATCATATGCTTGATTTAAATCCAAGTAAATCAACTGCTCTATTGTTCTGCGCGGAGAGTTACCGGGATATGATTATGGAGCATGTTAGACCTAGATTAGGTGATAATCTTATCTTATTTCAGAAGTCTTGCAAAAACCTTGGTCTAGTCATGGATAATAAACTAAAATTTAACGGACATATCACCCTCTGCTTGGCCAGAGCTTTTTCAAAATTAAAACTAATATATTCACAGCGGCACTTTTTATCACAAAAAACTAAAACAATCTTATGTGACACGCTTGTTCTATCTCATTTTAATTATCTAGATAATGTATATGGTCCATTTCTCGACTCAAAAGATAACAACAGAGTACAAAAAATCCAGAACTCTTGCGTAAGATTGATCTGCGGAATAAGAAGAAGACAAAGAGTGTCACATAAACTTAGAGAACTTAATTGGCTTAACATGTCCGAACGTCGTCTTTTGCACTCGGTATGTTTTTTCTATAAAATTCTGAAACATAAATGCCCACCTTATCTTTACAACAAATTACAATTTCGTACAGATGTGCATAACCTAAATATCCGCAGACAACATCTTCTAACCATACCCGCTCATAAAAAAGAATTCTTTAAAAAGTCATTTTCCTACCAAATTGCTACGTCAATAAATAAGTTCACAATTACTGATTTTTCGAGGTCTGTCCTGTCTTTCAAAAGAAAAATTAAGAATCAACTGCTCCCGGAATGAATTGATATAATTTTTAATTTTTTTTTAATCCTCTTGTGCTATTTTAAGTAGAAAGTTCTAAGTTTATTAAAGATTGTTGCTTTTTTGTGTCGTAATAATACTTTTTGTACGGTCTTTTTTTTTAGTTTTGTATGACCATGTTGTGCAAAAATTATATTATTATTGCCTTTTGTTTGGTAATATTGTTGTATATTTTTTTTTCGTGGCCTCAACAGCACCTTCGACTTTGAAGGAAGCTGACTGTGCCTTTTGTTCCAATTGTTAAAATAATTTATATATTATGTATTTTGTATGTGATTTGGAACAATAAACCTTTTTTATTATTATTATTATTATTATATATATATAAGGTTTCTTTATATTTTCTTTGTATATTTTTGGACAAAACAAATCAATGTAGTTAGGTAATTATTAAAGTACTATTAATTTATTAATTCTCAACTTTCCGCATTTAATAAATCGGAATAAACAGAAAATTGTTTATTTTTAATTTCGTGTGTTCACTTATTTCCCATTATTATTATGTTCACTTATTTCCATTATTACTTACTGTCTCACTCCTTTCGTAAAATGGAATGAATCTTTTCTCAATGTGATCAGTATAAACCAACTCATTAGCTGGTGTACTAGTACAATTTCCGTCTGTTATACTTGGACCATATACATTTTCTACCTTTTCTTCGGTTAATGATGATGAAGAAGCACATACAATCGTAGCAAATACAATAATCGTCAAACTAAAAAATTTTACTGTCATATTTGTGCTCTTGCTTTATTACTTTAACTTTTCTTCTTTAAAAAAAATGGATGCCTTGGTTTAAAATACTAAAGTCGATTAAATTATTGACTTTATATATAGGTATTTTAAAGTTTCTTATCACTAATAAATCATATACTTTGCATTAAAAATAAAATTGCATTTATTTGAAGTGGATTAAGACATTTTTTAAAACGTTTTTCATGGAAAGTGATTGCTGCTCGTCAATATGTAAGTAAAGTGTCAAAAATTATGACATGTATGGTTTTTTTCTAAATTTCAATTATTTCTAATTAAAATAATGAATAGTACTGTGGTAGTTGTGTGGAGTTGGTTCCTTGTGAAACATCGTTGAAATATTGGTACTTTCTTATTCGTATTCGGCGCCAGGCTGATGTCAAGTTGCCATATTTATTTATTTGTTTCCTGTCATTCGTTTTGACACTTTAGTGTTGTATTACGAGTGTTTGGTTTAAATGAGTTGTGTTGTGATACTTTAAGCTTAAAAATGTTTACTAACAAACCTTACAGTCGAACACTATTCTTTTTAGAACCTCTTTTAGTCCGAAGTGTACAAGATAGCTTAATAGCCGTAAAAAACTCATCGCAGCTTTATTAGCGGTAGCAATTTAAGTGCTCTTAAGTGCTGTTAAGAAGGTCAGTTTTGTTGATGTAAATATTAACTGTTATTTTTTTTCCTAAAATATTTTGATTAAAAAAAATATGTAAAAGTGGTGCCGATCAAGCTTAATCACGTGACTAAAAGTTTATTTGGTATGAACTATAGAAACTAACTGCCTCAAAACTTTGGACTCCCTATTTTTTTATTCTACGTAAAATTTTATTATTACTTTTATTATTTGCAGTGATTTGGCTATAACGTTATATAAATATCTGTTCTAAGAATGTCTTTCAAGAGGTTTATTTTTATTTTTATCAATTCGAAGAAAAAAAAATGGCCATATAATAAAAATGTATCTTTTATTAATTTTAAAAATTCCCCAATGTCTACTTAATTAATTTCAACTAAAAAAGATATTAATAATAAATAAATATTAACATTATCTAATATATAGATATATTATTTTGATGAAATGATTGATAATGTCAGTTCATCTGATCGATCACGTATAATCTTAACAAATAAAAACTCATGTTTTTAACATTATCTTACTATGTTTAAAGTGTCAATGTTATTTAACAAAGCAATCACAGTTACATTTGTTTACATTATTAGTGGAGACCTGCCGGTTGTGGGCACACTTGTGGTTTGCACCTATAACTTTTTTTTCAAGTCAACATAATGCAGTGATATGCACACCAATGGAAAGCTGGAGACCTTAGCTAACTTTTTCTTGAAGTAACTATATGGAATCGGACGAAAAAAAAATTGCAGCCACTTACAGATTTTGTGAATGATCTTTTTAACGTGAACTGGCAAAACATATTTAATATGACTAATATTGATCAGATGATTACTTTTTTTCAAAAAAATATAACAGACATATTTAATATACATGCACCACTTAAAACATCTAGGTTTTCTAAACCCCCCACTCCCTGGATTACCTCACAGAACATCTCTCAACTTTTATACAGTCATGTATACTTAAATTTTTTGGTCACGTTATGAGGAGGATACTGACTGTATGGAAAACCTCATTATACAGAACCAGGTTCAGAGGAAAGAAGACCAAGAGGCCGCTCGCCCTCCCGATGGATAGACCAACTATCAAAGATCACCCACAAGCCACTGCACACGCTTGTACATGAAGCACAAGACAGGGAATTATGGAAACAAACCTCACACATTACCTGACCACTACATTCCTCTTGTAGGAATAAAGACAGAGAGAGAGAGAAGGAACACCCTTCGTAGCTGCGAAACAAAGCAGAATTGGACCTTTATGTTGATATAACCTAACCAACAAGGTCGCACAACGCTCAGTGGAGCGAAATATGCTGGGAATAACCAAGAGAGACCGTAAAAGAATAGATTGCATACGACATATGACCCAAGTAATAGATGTCATTCGCAGAATCAAATCTCCGAAATGGCAATGGGCAGGACACCTGGCAAGAAAAACGGACAACAGATGGGCTACAAAAATTACATCATGGTACCCACGAAGAATTACGAGACCTAGAAGACCGAACCTGGGATGGGACCATGATATTAGGAAATTAACAGGGATAACTTGGGACCACATAGCAAACAATAGACAACAATGGGCCAACTACAAAGAGAATATCTAAATATGTGAGGGAGACTACACCATAATTGGAAATAGTTGAATAAGCTGAAAATGATAATGGTGATGATGAAAGAACAACTGCAACTATTCTTTATTAGATAGTTGTGAAATAAAACATTGCAAATAAAAAAAAATTGGAACTTTCATTAAAATTAAATTTTATTTAAAAATTGTTTTTAGGATTAGAAGCTAGATTGAAGGTAGACATAACATGTTCTGAAAGAACTTCGCTGCTTTCTAAGGGAGTGGCAGAGGTCATGAGGTGCTGTCTGCATATCTCATATTCTCGCTTTCCCTGGTCCTTCGTGGTCAATCCTAAAAGCTGGCTTAGATACTCTCTCGATCTGGAATTGAACCGATAGACAGATGGAATCTTTTTTCAATTATCTCAATTCACAAAATGGCCATCAAATTTCCCATGGGGAAAGACAAAAAGTTCTCTCTAAAGTTTATTTATTGAGACACTTGTATATACATAAAACTTACACCTAACCAATCCAAGTATGGAAATCTCGACGATATGGCATCTACTTATAGACCGCACCAGTGCAGAGATTCTTAGTGGATATCCTCAGGCTTCACTGTACTTTTTCTAAGCTCAATATTTTTACGATTTAGGATGTTTTACATTTGATAACGATCAGGGTAGGTGTGATCGAAACGTTGTTTAAGATAAAGTAAAAACAAATAAAAACAATGACAATCTAAAATTCTTTTAGTTTCAATTCTCAATTATCGTATACTACTATACTACCTTTTAAGAAACATAAAACATTGCGGTTTACTCGAAAAAGTATAAAAGCAGTTTTATGTGACAATTTTTAATCTTTTAACAATAATTATGTCTCATAAATTACACCAGCATAGTAAAAAGATTTTGGCGTTCAAAAACCCCGATCGGACGATTACAATGGCTTATTGTTCCAGTTGGTCTACAAAAACGACCGGCTTATTAATTTAAAGAAACCTTTTAAACTTTGTAACGGTACAGCGATACATTCAATATGGTAATGGAGAGTTTGTGTATGTTCCGGATAGCGCTCTGGTTAAGTGCAAAGTTTTAATTTGGACCGTATTTTATTTTGTTCTCCAACTTACTAAAATGGCTTGTCACAGAAAAACCTCAAAACAACCATAATTAATAAAGTTAGACATTGATTAATTTGGTAAATTTTAGGGAGGTTCTTGGTTAAGCATATTTATAAACTTTATTAAAAAAAACGCTTTGTTTTTTGTTAATACCCCGTTCACACTGAGCGATTTCTGTTAACTCAATGTCGATTTCGAAAAAAAATCACTTTGAACGGTGTCTTCGAAAAACATTTATTTAAGATTATCTTTATGGCGGATTGTCTTATTCAAAAAAAGTCCGTGTATGTCGACATTGGCATTTTTTCAATTCACTGGAAACAGGAAGGCTTATTATGGTTGTCCTCGTTCTTTGTCCGCACCCAGTCTCCTATACCAGTGCTCTGCACTAGCTTGAGCAGTTGCTTCATAGCATGAGAGCCTAGTTACTCTAGTTCTAGACTTGCTTTCCCAAATAGAAAGTATCGCTGGCGATCCAAAGTCTAGCAGTGACATATTATGTACTGTGTTGTTTTATGATCTTTATCGTAGGCAGCAACAAAGGGTTTCTTGATACAGCTTGAAATTGTTCAGGCAGAACTTAACAGTCATATTGTCAAGAGACCTGTCGTAATCCGCACTTTATCCAAGCTGAGTATTGGCAGTTCCTTTGTGGTTTTAGAATTAAGCGCGATTCTCACTATAACGTACCGCCATCGTCACGTCGAGCCGCTGACCACCACGGTAAATATTCTTAAATGGCCAACAATAATAATTTACACTACCCGTAACATCTCTGTCGCGTCGTGGCAACGTCCATCTCCCATTTACTTCATGTTTTATGTTGTCGAGACGGCGCGCCGGTGATGATACGTTATAGTGAGAATCGCGCCTTGTACTCCAATGCAATGGACGGTCTAATTTTCCCTGGTAGGTACAGTGTTTTACTGCACAACGATTATACATTTGGGTATTCCCAGTGGCACTGGACCAAGAGAGGATTCCGGCGATTCTTGCTGTGCTAGTTCGTCAGATTTTAGCAGAGAAACCTAATAAAGATGGAAGTCAAGACAAAAAATATCGTCCAATATGTTTAATTAATGCAAGCACCAAACTGTTAGAATGTCTTCTGAGGGATAGACTGGAGCAAAAATTGGAGGATGGAAACAGACTACATCCAAACCAATATGGGTTCCGCAGAGGCAAATCTACGATAGACGCGTTAAACATCGTTACGAGTAACGTAGACCGTATTAAAACGAAATCGTATAAGAACAGGGGATACGCGGCACTGCTTACATTAGACATTAAAAACGCATTCAATTCTGCCCGATGGACAGGAATTGTTGAACAATTAGAGAGCATGAAGATCAGTAAATACCTCATCGTTATGATTAAGTCTTTCTTGTCAAAAAGATATGTAATTGCAGAAAACGGCAAAAAACACAAGATGACGTGCGGGGTACTGCAGGGGTCCATTCTAGGACCGACCTTGTGGAACATCTTCTATGACCAGATCCTGAGGGTCGATATTGGACCAGGTAATCTACTGATTGCTTATGCGGATGATCTGGCTGTCCTGATCACCGCTCCGACCATCACTATCTTCGAAGAAAAGATACAAACAGCTGCCCTAACTATAACCAATAAGTTGGATAGAATGGACATACATCTGCCACCAGAAAAATCAGAACTAGTATATCAGTTCTGGTCGGACATCGCAAGACGACGAACTTAAATACCCAATTG